GACTGATAGAGGGATGGAGAGAGAGAGTCACAGTTTTGCTAGTTTTTTATTTACTTATTATTCTTATTTGTTTCTTTAATCTTATTTAAATATTTASTAATCTATCATACTCTCTCWAATTGCTGAAGAGCSCTGTGTGACGACGGGGCTTGAYGGATCTTGAACTCAATTGGCCCCTTTCACCCTACTGGTCGCCGAGGACCTCGGAGCGGGCGCGGCGAAGTGACAGGCGCCGTAGCCCATGGCTTCAGCGAATGGTAGGTAGCCCCTCCCCGGGTTTCCTTACATCGTCCCCATAAATACTAAGCCTTCTTCCCGCTTTCTCCAAGTTCTTCTTCAGCATCGCCATGACCTTAAGGTTGAAGTGCCTGGCTTTGGGGACCCTCTCAAGTAGGTAGTTCAGCGCCCGCGCTAACCTCCTCCCCGCGGTCTTAGTTCCCTCCGCGTTTGCTGGGGCAATAGGCCTCCACCTCGTGAGGTCCTTATGTTTCGGCAAGACATAGGCTTGCCCAAGCTTGGCCGCTGGGTTCCAGGCTCCTATCTTGTCGAGGCCAAGCCTTCCAAACTCCGTCCTCACATGTGCCAGCACTTCCTTATCGTTTTTTTCCGTAACCTGCTGGTAAGCGAGGTTGAGGTTGAACATCATCTGGAGGCTATGTTGGTATGTTGAAGGGCACATGACAACCAGGTCTCCTGGATTTCTGTCCACCGGGACCACCACCAAGTGGCTCAACTTTTCCGCTACCTCCCTCGCCTGCTTCTCCGAACAAGCCGGTCTGGCCACTGACCGGTCCGAAACAGCCTCCTGGAACATGCTTGGATCCGCTACCTGGTACAGATCTCTCCGCATAATTGTTTCTAAAGACCGTCCTACCGATCGCTGCACTTTCATCGTCTTAGTGCCTATATCACCCTGCAGGATGTTCTTCCCCTTGTGCATGAACACGGGAGCCACTGAGCACTGCGCAATACGTGCCAACATATGTCCATCTACCCTTGGCATCTGGTCCTGGTTGCACGTACACTGCGCTGTAGCTTCCCTTGCTGCTTTCCGATGGTTGGCCAGGACTTCCTCCACCGTCCTCTTCTTCTTCCACACCACCCTTACTCGGCGTCGGAGCACCGCCTTCAACACAGGGTGGATTCTGCTCTTCTCCACACACATCACCACTGTGTCATGGATCTTCCTCTTCCTCAACTGGTGACTGTACTTCACTCCCACATTGACCTTCAGCCTGATATTCACGCCCGTCTTCTTTCTAATCACTGCAATTATCTTCTCTTTCAGCGTCCTTCTTGTAGTCTTGGTTTTGAACTTTCTAGCACGGCGGTACAAGAACACGAATTTCGTGACATCAAAGCGTTTCAACTCAGCTTGCTTCCCTGGCATTTCCAGCAACAACCTGAGATAGCCCTTCCCTCTGCTCCTTGCACTCTCGGTTTTCACAATCGGCCCCACCTTGAAGGTACCTCCCTCTTCTAGGCGCCTCTTGGACCTCCCTAAAGGAAACTTCGCCTCTCCGTCATTGACAGTCGACGTCCCGAACTTCCTTCGGACAACGGACCATTTCTCACCCCATACCTCACCGCCGGAAGACGTGAGCCTCACCGCTTTCACCCCCGCTGCAATTGCGTCCTCCAACAACTCCGTCAGGCTAAAATACCGCCTTGCCGGCCCGGCCAGCGCGAAGGACAAGAGTCCTTTCCTGTGCATTGGCACGACCTCTCTCGCCTTCTGCCTCTCCTTCTTACCGGGCCTAGCTCTCCGTTTCGTCCCTGTACCCCGTCCGACCACATTTAGCGCCGGGGAAAACCTGTGGATAATGGTCTTCTCCAGCACCTGCAAAGGCTGCAATCCATCTCCTGTACCCGTTGCTATTGGGAGGACCAGATACTTCTGCCAGTCGAAGACCTTCAAAAAGGAGAACAGCTTGGGGGCATGTCCATTGTTGCCCAACTCCGTACATCTGATGTGCTCCCACCACCTTTCTCCTTCCCCGCGCACCGTCTGTCCAATGTACATCCTCTTGCACCACGACGATATCAAGCAGTACACCGCCGGTCCCTTAAGGTCGAAAAAATCATCACGTTCAGGGGTCACCATGAGCACTTTCCTGGCCCACGGGGCCACTCCGACCGTCACTAGCAGGAGAAACAACGTAATGAGTACTTGTTCAATGCTAATCCTGAAATTCGTCAAGCCGTACGTCCCCCAGACACTGTCTCGTAGCCCCATATACAGCAAGAGTTTGTCCCAAAGGAACCGTGTTGGGGGGGCACACCGTCAATTTTCGTGGGGCGCTGCATCTTCTCCTATCCTCTTATCCTCCCTCCTACCTTCATCACTGTCCGCACTAGTAAGCCACCCGTACGCCACTCTCGTCTCTACTGCTGCCAGGTCCTTAACCGCTTGGCTCTTCGACACCCACCTGATGCTCTTCATTTTACACATCTGCTTGAGTTCTGGTGCTTGCTTAGCCTGCAGGCTCTCACGCAGCTCAAGGACGAAGTCGATCACTCCTTGTTTGGAGCAAGAAGCCATTGCTCCCTTCTTCTTCGCATCCACATTCGTTGGTTCCTTCCCTTTCCTCTTAACCACAGTCCGCCTTCCGGTAGTAGGCGCGACCATATACCTCTCTTCGACGTCCGCCTCCCGCTCAACCTCCTCCAGGTCCAGCCTCCTTCTTGGGTTTGGGTAAGGATCGGCCCTGGGTCTTCACGGCACTTCCCCATCTGTGCGTTCTAGGAAACGTCGTAAGCTGTCGTGCAGCTTCGCGTTCTTCTCTTCTGACGCGATGAGTGTGGATTGCACATGGTCCTTAATTTTCTCCTCCAGGGCTACCATCTGCTCCGCGAATGCTTGCACTGCCGTAGCTTCCATAATAGCCTGCGCCCGTCGTTTTTCTGCTTCCTCTCTCTGCTTCGCTTCTTCCATCCTCAACTTCTCTTCTTCCAGCCGCTTCTTCTCCTGTCCGGCCTTCTTCTTCTCCGCTGCTTCCAGCTGCTCGTTCTCGACAAATGCTAGCAACTTGTTCATGCGATCGTCCTCTTCATTCCTTCTCATCTGGTTGTAGGCACCCCGCACATAGGATCCCGGTCCATAGCTCCCCCGACTCTGGCTCTGTCAGTTCCTTCCGTTTTGCTTATGCAGACAGTCCCGGGCATAATGTTCATACTCACCGCAACTGTAACACGGCCCCGCTGGCGTAAGCGACGGGGGAGGGGGGGGCGGACGGGGATGGGGAGGGGAAGAAGAAGAGGAAGGGCCATGCGCATGTGCAGACCCGGCGTAATTTGCAGGATACTGGCTCGGGGTGGTCTGCGGAGGATACATGGTCGCGCACCTTATCAGTCACCCGTATGATTCGTGGGACTGCCCCTTAGGAAAAAGCACCCATTCCTACTGCTCACCACAACACTCCACGAGCTTACTTCGATCACTGAACCAAACCCCACCCACTAACATCCCCGATACCTCATCCTTCGAGTTCGCTGATCCGCTCGATTACACCCCCCAGTCGCTCCTTCCTGCTTACCTCCTCCCATCTCGCCTGTTCGGCTCACGCTTTACGCGATCAACAGTCAGCTTGCTCGATCCGTTCACTTACTCGCCACCTCTACATCACAGCACGACTGTACCGTGGACAACTCATACCCACTTCACGTCGCAGGTTGCCAGCTCACCATGCTCTACCTCGATCGGCACGTGAGGACTAACCGCTTTGCTATCATGCGTCTCCCACGAGTGCAACGTCCATACTATTCCAAACGCGAGGCTCTCCACCCGCTCCACCTTACCTCAGTTCTAGGACCGCATCAGGCCTCCCCACGCTTCACCGTTCAACCATATGTTACATACCCGTTCAATCCGTAGTACCACTCAAACAGTGTGCCTCTTCCCACACTAACTCACCAGCCATCAGCTAGCCTGCTCTCCAAGCTCCACATACCAACTCATCCGCTCACTTCACCGAACTCTTACCTCTTCCGCAACTCGGCCTCACACTACCACATAACACTCATACCTTCCTCCCAACGGGTATAACAGCTCGTCATTCCTTAACTACCATATCTCGCGGGCTATTCATTCCGCTAATGAGGTAACTTCGACTGGCGGTCTTCGCACCACGATCATGCGTCAACACTCCTGAAGTCTCGATCACTTATCCTGGCGGACCTGAGCATCACGGCATTTCCTTTTTCCCGGCTGGCTGACATGTATCGCCGCCCATCCCCTCACTCTAATACACCACGCTACCTCTCGCACATTTACACCTGCCTCTCGTTACCTTGTTCCACTAGCTACACTCTTCGTCTTAACCGCCCACCTCTCCTCTCACTCACCTCCCCCCTCTCTCCTCTCATCATCACTCTACCTCGGATCATTCATATTTGCGCCTCGTCACATGTTTGCCCGCCAGTCGTGTTCAGACCCGATCGACTCACGAGGACATGCCACTTTGCTGTCGTGCTACTCCGGGGAGTGGTCACCACCTCAGTTTCGTGCGTCGGAACTTCTGCTACCCGGACCACTTCGCGCGGCGAGCTTACGCCGTAACCGTCGTTCTTCGCAACTACTTGCAAGTAGGCCGTACACGCGATCCCCAGCCTCAGTCACGCTACCTCACCATCCAGCAACCGTCGACACTGGTCACGCTCAAGCTCCCCCTTTTTGAACCCCTTTTTTTCACCCGTCCCTTCTTGCACCTCCTCTCTCTTTGTCGTGCGTTCTCTTCTCTCCTCACTCAAATCTACCCTGTCGTCTCCTCACTCCTTCGCTCTCACACACTCCTCACCCTCTCCCTCCTCACCCACTCTCTTCACTCGTATCACCCTCTCGCCGAACTCGCATGCACACAGTAGTAGGCGCCACCACTAAGTGGTGAGCTTACGTCGTAACCTTTCCCGACTGCCTGCACGTTACCCGTACACATTACCCCTGCCTTGGTCGCGCTAGCTTTCCTGCCAAAGACCAACGACTTTGGTCACACTCGCGCTCCCTCCGTTTTTCAAAACCCCTTTTTTTCCACTCGCTCCTTCCCTCTCCTCGTTATGCGTTCTCTTGTCTTCTCACTCACAACCACCCTATCGTCTCCTCGCTCCTTCGCTCTCACAAACTCCTCACCTTCTCTCTTCTTCTCGCCCACTGTCTTCGCGTGCATCACTCTAACATCAAACTCTCTCGCACATCTGCAGTAGGCGCAACCACCACGTGGCGATCTTACGCCTTAACCATTCACAATTGCCTGCACGTAAACCATCCACGCGATCCCCAGCCTTGGTCACGCTACCCCACCAGCCCGAGCACGACAACCTTACTCACACTCACACTCCCCCCTTCCAAACTCCTTTTTCCTCTCCCATCCCGCTACTTGCCTCTCCTCGTCTTGCGAGCTCTTCTCTTCTCACTCACACCAACCCTGAGGTCTCCTCGCTCCTTCACCATCTCCTCGAAATGAAAAGAGAAGAAGAAGAAGGAGAAGAAGAAAAAAAAAAAAGAAAAAAAAAAAGGAAGAAATTAGGGCAAACTTGACAATGTGCAATTTTTCGAAGTTCAAAGAGTAGAAGAAGAAGAAGAAGAAGAAGAAGAAGAAGAAGAAGAAAAAGAAGAAGAAGAAGAAGAAGAAGAAGAAGAAGTAGAAGGGAAAAAAAAAAAAAAAGGGCAAGCTTGGCAATGTGCGATTTTTCTAATAGAGAAGAGTAGAAGAAGAAGAAGAAGAAGAAGATTGGGGCAAGCTTGCCAATGTGCGATTTTTCTAATAGAGAAGAGTAGTAGAAGAAGAAGAAGAAGCAGAAGAAGAAGAAGAAGAAGCAGAAGAAGAAGAAGCAGAAGAAGAAGAAGAAGCAGAAGAAGAAGAAGAAGAAGAAGAAGAAGAAGAAGAAGAAGATCTCACAGCAAGAATGCCACAGCAGCAGCAGCAGCAGAAGAAGAAGAAGAAGAAGAAGAAGAAGAAGAAGAAGAAGAAGAAGAAGATCTCACAGCAAGAAGCTCTCCCTGTGATCTCTAAGCTGCCTGCACTCTCCTCACTTCCCCGGGCGGCGAGAAGAATGCCACAGCAGAAGATTGAGGAGAGTGTGGGCAGCAACACTCTTATGAAGGCCACCGACCGTGGAAAAGTCGGTGAGCACGGTTGGCGGCCTCCCAGGCCGATCCCCAACAAGCCGACCGCTGCGAGCGGCGGCGCCCCGACCCTGCCAATCGCTCAGCCACCGACCGATCCACCGGTCGGCTGGTCGGCGGCCGACCGGTTGAGGCCTGCCGACGGTCGGTGGGTGCAACTCTGCTGCGCGCCGATTTTTGCCGAGCCTGCCGGGGGGGGGAACCAACATGGGACATTGATGCTTGGCACAGGTACCGCCCTTCTTCTGTACCTGCTGCCAACAGCTGGAATGTAAAGCGGCTATAGTTTTCTTGTTTCCACTCGTGTACATGAAAATGGCCTGGGCAGAAGTGCATCCAGATCCATCTGGAAAGATCTCGTCGAATGCTCCCCGCCTCTGGTGGGGAGCAGAATCACAAACAGCTGAGAATCTTGAAAAGCAAAAAAAAGAAACAAAAAAGAACAAAGGGGAAAAAAGGTACCAAGCTCTGAACGCCATTGCCCTCAGATAAATCCGCTGCTGCAGTGAAGTGCAGCCAGATACATTCCGGAAAGTGCTACGTCAAGTGAAGCCCTGGAATTGAAACGGTTGGCACGCATTGAATGCTCCCCGTCTCTCACGGGGAACAAAAGCACAAACAGCCATGATACTGCTTCCAAAAAAACAAAAAAAAAACAGAAAAACAAAAAAACAAAAAAAAACAAAGGGGAGAAGAGGTACCAAACCCTGAACGTGAATGCCCTCAAATACATCCTCTGCTGCACCGAAGTGCAGCCAGATACATTACGGAAAGTGCTATGTCACAGTGACGCTGTGGACTTGGAACCGTTGGCAAGCATTGAATGCTCCCCGTGTCTCACGGACAGCAGAAACACAAACAGCCGAGATACTGCTTACAAAAAAAAAAAACAAAAAAAAAAAACAAAGGGCAAAAGAGATACCAAGCCCTCAGATTCATCCACTGTGTCCACAAGTACAGCCGGATACATTCTAGAAACTGTTAACCTTACTGGGCTGGCGGGCACTCATGAAAAACCAGTTTTCTTCCAAAAAAAAAAAAAAAAAAAAAAAACCAGCGATCTTTTTTTTTTTCTTCTCGTGTTTGATTGATTGATTGATTGGTTGATTGATTGATTGATTGATTGACTGGTGGGGGAGGGCTCCGCCCCCCCCCCGGCACAAAAAAAAAAAAAAAAAAAAAAAAGCTATCTGTTTTTTTTTTTCTTCTTGTGTTGCAGTTCCTTTTCTTCTCTTTTCCCCCTCGTCGCCTTCAGCCTCCGAACGTTTCCACATAGCACAGCACCGGGACATCTTACAATCCATTTGCCCCGTTTTTGTGGGCCCACACACGTCCTCCTCCATCGCATTGCCGGGCCTTCCCCGAGCCCCAAAAACTGGGGAGTGTTAACGGGGAAGGCCCGCGGCCCATGTATGGGCCAAGTACTGGTGGTTTAACGAACGGTCAGATAACAAACAACAAACCTTTCCTATACTTTCCTATACGGGAAACCAGGCTGCGACCTCCAACCGCCCACACTTCACAGGAAGACCGCACCACCGTTTCCTACGACCGCAGACACGTTACCTCACCAAACGATCGCTCTGTCTCCGGTGGGCGACCAGTACCTTATTTATGTGTGCAACGACACCATATATACCCAGTTAGACGTTCCACGACATTCCCCAAAAAGAAGCCCCGCACTACACGACAAAACGCATCCATGTATACGCAGCCATCCTGGCTGCGAACAATCTATCGATTTTGTTTTTCATTTTTATGAAATTCTATCTGAGTTTTTCACTTTTTTATTGTTTGATCCATTGTGTAGTTCTGCTGATGATATGCTCTTACATCCTAGTCTGTCAGCAGTGGTCTCTGCATGCCGTTTGGGACCGGCCCTGAGTCATATATTCATAATGTCTTAGACTGAAAGGAGGACTAGAGTCGTTCCTCATTTATCTGGCCAGCCGTCACATTCAGTGAGCAGGCACTGTGATCTAGGCCCACTGGTACCGTGATAGACCGAGAACAAAATCGTTTTTTCTTGCCTAGGT